AATGCACACAAAGGTTTAAGGCAAATGACAGTCATTTGCCAACGTTTTGGGGAGCATACAAAAGATGGGGGCCCAAAACAGTCATCAACCATCGATTGAGAGACTGGAATTATGAAACATATGAATAAAAGAAAATTTTAACATGGAGAACTTTGAAAAAGCACAAAGAAAATAAGACCAAATGTCCTAGATGCGTTCGTGTCGTCTGCATCATCGACAACGCCCACCATGTAGATATAGACCAAATCCAATAAATGGCATGTCCTCAAAACGAGAACCGGGATAGTGACAACGAAAAAAAATCACACTAATGAAAAAAATATCACACAAAGAAATACCATATCTCCGAATGAAGTCATGATGTCGGTCATTGTCTACCTTAGCTTTCATTCTGGCAAATCCTGTGTTATAAGTTTGTGCGTCAGCACTCGCCATCTATCACGGAAATCATGGTATTCAGACCAAACACTTGAATAGTGAATGAACTACGACATTTTGGCACCAAAGTTTGGGGGGCAGGGGTGTTACCAGCAGGAAAGGGAAAGCTCATGACTGGATAACCTTAATCATCATGCTTATCATACAGCTCCGTCGATCGAACCCGCCTAAATTATCAACTATTCTCAACCATCCTCGCGGAAACAAGACACTAATAAACAACATTAAAATCTTGGATCTGTATATAACACAAAGAAATAAATTAATTTCAGATGATAGGCATCATATTACTTTCATTTCTCGAAACCGTGTCTTGTAAGTTTGTCTGCAAAACCTACTGATTTGTTTATGTAATAGTTGCACAATTCCTGCTACATCCCATTGTAATGTAGGTAACGGTCGTACAAATCTATAAAATCAGGGTTTAAAACATTTCGTGAAAGATCACAACATTTATCACGACTGGAATTCCGTGGCAGATGTTATTAAACTGACCAGAAAAATGTCAGTTTAGAACAGTTCAAACAGCACACATCTACTTTTTGATCTGTGACCTTGCATCTATTTTAAATGCTCAATATTTTAATGATAGTATAACGATGTTTAAAGCCTGAACTACTTGGTGGCCCATATCTTTTCACGTCCGATCGGGGAATCGAACCTCGGTCGCCTTGGTGAAAGGCAAGAGCGCTACCCGACCACCGTGCCATACTACCTTGTGTCCAGTTCACTGTAAAGCCTCTAATAAAACCTTGTAACAGTGGAATACAATGTTATGGCGTTTCCCTGTTGAATGAGCCCTTTTTAAATTTGCAATGTGGTTTTTTTTCGGATAGCAACGCTCAGTCCTTTTTCTCGTTCTAAATCGAGACGAGGGGGCTCAAAGACTCTCGCACAACTATGACCAAATATTAAACAAAGCGTAGCTAAATCGAGTCAGATATACAGATATAACAACTATTGTACATACGCTTACATAATTGTTTGTTGTTGACATTAATTCTGGCAGAGTTGACGTACTAGTTTTGGTATAGATGATCTGTTTTAGGCAAATGTTTAAATTTGTAACATTATAGAAGGTCTAAAGGCACCTTTCCGTGTTTGTTGTAGTCATGTTTCGGAACACTAACAACATGATATTTGTAACATTATAGAAGGTATAAAGGCACCTTTCCGTGTTTGTTGTAGTCATGTTTCGGAACACTAACAACATATTTGTAACACTATAGAAGGTATATAGGCACTTTTCCGTGTTTGTTGTAGTCATATTTCGAAACACTTACGACATGATCTTTCGTTCGTTTGACTTTTAGAACAACTGACGAGTTTCATTTTTTCAAAATTAGAATAATTCTACGTAACAAGGTAATTGACTCTGCTGGCGGACTATGAGTCGCCCAGGTTGGCCGTAGTCTCAAAGCTGTAATCTATTCCGACAGGGTTTATATAGAATACTTGTTTAAGCATAAATTATCTGTTTTAACCAAAAGTTATAAAGTAATGGTATGAAGGGGTATATTGGCACCTTTCCCACTTTGTTGTATTCAGCATATGTTTCGGAACAGTCTAGACCCTTTTCATTATTTACATGTATATGAATGTATTGAGCGTGTATATATACTGAAGTGTTATGAATGCGAGAAATGACAACCAAATGGACGAATCGATTTTGCTACGATGGGCAAGAGTCTAAGAGCCCCCCTCATCTCGATTCAGAGCTTACCCGCAGCAGTGTTTCCAGTTGGCTTCCGTTATATGCCGCTTGAACAGGCTTTCCTCTCTCTCTCTCCCCTACATTTTGGAGATCTCTGTGTCAAAAGCCTGACAAAAGCATGATAATTCCTCTGGGTGGTTTTCGATAATCCATTTATGTCATGGATGGCCACGTGACCTTTCATTTTGTTACCTGGAATGGCCTTTTCTTGTCCGTTTTTTTTAACTTTCAAGCTGTTTTTGTAACCATTTGAGTGCCCATTACGGATATCCTATGATTTCATTGACTTGTCAATGTGCTTCTGCTTTGTCCTGTTGTGACAATCGTATCTGATCGGTTGAGCAACTACGCCAAACTTCTAGTACAAAAGATTTTGAGATTTATAGTTCAGATATTTGTCCATATGCCTCTATTTTTCTACAGACCAACACCTTCACTGTACTGTCACCTTTCTTTTTCAGTAGGTTGTCAACATTTCTACTTCTTTCATTGATTCCGTCTGTGCTTTGGAATCTACGGTGTTGATATGGGTAGTCAAAACCTTCTGTAGCCCTTTCTTGATTATTTCTAGTGTCGTCAACATATAAGCTTGTCTTGCACTCTATGTGGGCAATGGAAAATTTAAGCATATGAAACGTCCTATGTATCTTTATCTCAGTATATCAAACATGTACATATTGTCGCAAGTGGCAACTGTAAGGTTTCTGCAATTTCAAGTCTTGATTCCCAAAATTGAACTTGTGCGGCAGTTAGAGAAGAAGTCGCATAAACATCTTCAACAAGTATTTCTTCATAAATTTCTGCTTAAAAAACATAACAGATTACAGTACGATACTCAGTTTTAGAGGAAAAACTTACACTACTGGCACAAGCTATCTTTATTGCTCCTTATCAAAATAATTGATAAACCAATTGAAAAGAAATTTTGGCCTAATGTTTGTATTTGACAATACTAGTTAGTTAGACTGGACAGTTATTTATTCACCCCGTATTAACAGTGATACTGATTATTACTTCAGCTTTTGAATGGCATCCGTAGCATGTCTTAAAACTTTTCATTCAAAGAATTTTTGCCAAATTTGGAGTAAAACTCTTTTGGCCAGGGATATTGAATATGGCATAAGAGTTGTCTGGTCCCCTTTTGGGACATAGCCCAATAGGCAAATTAGGGGTTAATCTTCAAAGGACTATGTATGGTTTGGGCCTGTTTTGGCCCCCAAATGCATTAAAATTCAAAACCTTTAAATGAACTTTGAAATGACTGTTTCTTTAATTTCGAATACTTCCCAAATACTATAATGAAAATATTTATTTATATTTCTAATTATTGTTGCCATGGTAACAAGTTCAAATTTGCATAAATTAGAAAAAAAATGAATATTCAGTGAATATTGTGATATTTTGCATAGTTTTTCTCCTAGAAACAATAGAGCGCATGCTTGAACAAACTTAATATCAAAGAACAATGTGTAGGCATCTGTAATACATCTTTAGGAGAAATATAAAGTTTGTTCAAGAGTGCACTCTATGGTAACTAAGAGAAAAACTAGGTGAAAACCTGTCAAAATTGACTGAATCATCAAATTTCAATAATTTATGCAAATATGACCTGGTTACCATGGCAGCCAAAATTGAAATCACAATTAAATGTTAGCATAATAGTACTGGGGAAGTATTCAAAATTAAAAAAACATTCATTTGAAAGTTCTATCGCAGATTTTTAATTTTGATGGATTTGGGGGCCAAAAAAGGCCCAAACCATACATAGTCCTTTCAACTACTTTTGTTGTTGTTGTTGTAATAACTAGGGGTGTGCTCCTTTTGGACAGAGGGACTCGACCCAACACTAAAACCTTTCTCCTTCATTAAGAGTAGGGGACTTTTTTTTTTTAATTTGGTACAAAAGATCCTTGAACCAATGAGTCTTAATGTTTTCATTGGAAATAAGATTGAACTTTTCTTTATATCCTAAGACTACTCCTTCAGTTGGAATAGGGATTTTAAATTAATTTGGTACAAAGGATTCCAGAGGGGAAAGGGAACACACTATTGTAAAATTATTGTGTTTTACCTGTCGTCGGTCTTTATTTATTAGGAATATCTGCTTCTTGACCCCCTTAACCGGATCGTGTACTTTATTCAGTGTCAGACTGCGCAATTTCTATACTATATTCTGTTATTCAATGTATGGTTAAAAATATTTACACATTGTCACTTGGTCACATACTATTTTATGTTAATGTTCATTATGTAGCAACTATATTCCACACTGTGCTATTACGATATCCTTGTTTTGACCGTCACAAATTAAAACAGTTTCATGCTTGTAGAGCGTTGTCTTCAGTAGTTTTTTTTGACTCGTTGGTAGCAATCAGGATTGAATTAGAAATTCATACATTTCCAGTAGCTGCTCAGTTTGAATTCGTTTTTTGATTCCATGCTCACCAATGTTGCACTGAGGGAGAACAGCAGGGTTACTTTCAAAAGATTAAGCACAGATGCAGGAATTCATATTTTTTTTATAGAGCCAGCTCTGGTTAAGGTTGGTAGAGGGCACAGAGTGGAGCATAATAGTGGAAACAGGATATAATAATGGGAAACATAACTAATGAGGCCTATAAAGGTCATATTAAACTTTATTGCTTTTTTCAGTTCAGAATATTTTCCATAATTCCTTGTGTTTTAATCATTTTAGATACTGTATTTCACAGTCGGATTCAACTTGCATGCCTCACTTTAAGTCGTAGTATATAATGTACAGGAGAGTGTACTTTGACTAGTAAAGCTACAGACAAAATATCCTCAAACATCAATAAAGGGCCTATTGAAAAATAACAAACCAGAGTCAAATGATGAGTCCTATTTATTGGTCAGCAATGGACATGTTATTCTCACACAACAACATAAACATACATGTCTTCCTGCTTACAGAGTCTAAACATAATACCTATACGTATACCTATAGCTATAGAGTAGAAACGTCAAACGGACATGTCTAGGTGTCTATAGAGCATAAACAGGATACAGATCTGTCTACAGGTCTACACAATCACAATACAAACACGTCTAAGTTACTTACCGGTAAGAGTATATATATGTTCTGAAGGAAGCAGATAAGTTGACATGTCATTAGATAATCAAGTTCTATTTTCCAGTCAAACCTTCCAAAAACATTCTGGCATTTTAAGGAATAAAACATGCATGCTGACCAGCATAAAACGTTGTGCTTTACACAAATTCAAAGCATTATTTAATTTATATTGTTTCCCACTAATATACAACGAAGCAGTCTTGATAGTAAATTTAATGTACTAATAGTGACAAGCATAAATGGCTTAAGGGGAAAGTTTCATAATAAATAACTCCCATACAAGTATTTCTCATTTTTTCTACAAGACAATGTACGAGTGAGCCACACCTCACAGTAGCTGTAGCACAGTGAAGCTACCCAGCACTATATAGAGATAGTGTGTCACTACCAGTACATTGAAGAATACTGACAGAATGTCAGTTGTGCCACAGAAAGCTTTGAATAAATTACAGAATGCTCTTGCAAGAATTCTTCAATGAGATACACTGCTGGCTTTAAGTGACAATACCAACATATAAGATCTGGATTTTCATTTACTTTCTACACATAACACAAGACCAATATATTTCTTTTAATTGAACATTATGTTGCAAGCGATCTCTTAATACTGGTTCAGTTCAAACCTACAAATTACTACATTGGGAAATGAAAGTGGTGTCTTATATACAGGTGGTCTACTAGCAGGGGTAGTTTCTTTATAGAGGTGGTCTCAAGCAGGTTCGGCTGTATTCAATGTCACTTGTAGTATTTGTTTCATGATACCAGTAACAGCTTAGTGCTTAGTTCAAGTGATGGGAAAAAATAACCCCAGAATTTCCTGTATGAAAAGAACCTAATACCAGTACAATAACCAGCCTATCATTTGGACAAGTAAGTACATGTAAAAAAGAATCACGTATGTTCTGAATAAACCCTACACCACAAATGAGGGATCTAGGAATGCCTCTATAACTCCTAGGAATGCCTCTATAACTGGTGATTTGCTTGCTGGATTTGACTAGTATCGAGGATCTTTGTAAAATATTTGACCCTGAACTCATTCAATGACCCCTATTTGAGCCAACATATATTTTGTTATCCCTTTGCATCTCTGAGTGGGCCGATGTTGAGGAGGACACGATGCTGGAGCCACAACGTCTGTGGATCTTGACCTTCTGATGGCAGGGCAATGGCTGTGTTCCTGTAGTCATGCTTCAGCCAGAAACTAACCTGTTAACATCAAAGTGATAATTTAAGGATTATATAGGGCATACCTATCATCACAACCAGACAACAGAACTGTGATAAGGAGATATTGTACAGGAGGTCTATGGAGCCTGTATTGCCCAACTTGTCACGCATGAAATATTTAGGATTGAAATGGTGCTGAGTAAGCTGACATTAATTTGCTTAGAGTATAACAGTATTTAAACTCTTCACCAAGCAACTGCAAATCAAAATTTGTGACTTTTAGTTCTTAGGTAATTTGATGTTCAGAATATATTTTACCCTGTAACCTTAACTGCATGCTGAGGTCATTCACTAGAAACAAGATATCCCAGCGGAAATAGAGTTCTTCTGTCTCAAAAATTAGACACACATAACAAAGGAACAAGGGCAATAGACCTATTCACTTTGAGAAATATCCATCCATTGCTAATATCAACTATCAAAATTCAAGATGGCTGTCTGTAGACTATCTTGATTTACTGCCCCATCTAAAAATGAACAAGAGGCCCAATGGGCCTGAATCGCTCACCTGGTATTAATCTAACACTTGTAATCTTAAAAGTGGACTAATATACAGCTACAGGCAAAATATCTGTGTTCGATCCATTTGACTCTATTAAATGATTTAAACATATGACGCCTGCGACCTTGAAAGTTTTAGCCTTCCGTCCTGGCATACTTCTGGCTAAATATCATTACCCTGGACCTTTTGAATATTCAGAATAAGTCATTTTAAGATTTAAACATATTTGATCCCTGTGACCTTGAATATGAGCAAAGGTCATTCATTTGAACAAACTTGGTAGCCCTTCATCCAAGCATGTTACTAGCCAAATATCATCATCCAAGGCCTTTTGGTTATTGAGAAGCAGTTGTTTAAAGGTTTTACACATATTTGCCCCCTGTGACCTTGAAAATAAATGAAGGTAATTCATTTGAATAAACTTGGTAGCCCTTCATCCCAGCATGTTACTGGCCAAATATCATTAGCCTATGCCTTTTGGATATAAACATATTTGACCCCTGTGACCTTGAATATAGGTAAAGGTCATTCAGTTTAACAAAACTTAATAGCCCTTTACCCTAGCATGTTATTTGCTAAATATCATTATCCTAGGTCTCTAAGTTATTCAGAACTAGTTGTTTAAAGATTTTTCAAGACAATTGACCCCTGTGACCTTGGAAATGGGTGAAGGTCATTTATTTGAACGTGGTAGCCCTTCATCCCAGCATGCTACTGGCCAAATGTCATCACCATGGGAATTTTGGTTATTCAGAAGGAGTTGTTTAAAGGTTTTAAACATATTTGACCCCTGTGACCTTGAAAATAGGTGAAGGTCATTTATTTGAACAAACTTGGTAGCCCTTTATCCCAATTTGCTTCTTGCCAAATATCATCACCCTAGGCCTTTCGGTTATTAAAAAGAAGTTGTTTAAAGTACTTTGTGCCAGGTGTGCTAAAAATGCACAACTAAGGACAAGGGGGGCAAGCAAATTAAATGAGAATAATTTTTCCATCACTTCTTCAGACAGAGTGATAACAAACTTAACTTTCAAAATCCAAGATGGTCACCTGATGGCCATCTTGTTTCATCAATATATGCCTCATTCTCTTCAAGAAGTTGTTTACAAAACAAATTGGTGATGATCAATATACGAATACATAACCTAGGAAACTTTTTGCATGATGTAAGCTGAAATCACTTACAATAAATTTTAAAAAATCCATTATACTGAATTAAGATCCATTATATTGAATTAAAACTACTAACTTAATATCAACTGGAACAATACAGGAAGCTGTTTGTCTTAATACAGGTAATTGTATTAATTGTGCAATTTCAAAAACTTGCGAATAAGGCCAACAAAGTCTCACCACATAGCCAAGATATCAATGTAGTGATGAATACTTGACAGTGATTCAAGCACAGAAATGTCACACTTCTGTTGACTGTTGTATCTGAGGTAAGTTGTCACATAAACAATGAACCATAACATTAACCGGTTAGTGTACCTTGATATCCCCCTCCAGGATTCCTGGGGTCACCTTGATAATCAGTCCAATCTTATTGTCTCGTCTAAACTTCACAATGCTGAAAACCAGGGGAGCACAATACAAATTTGTCTACAGTTTTAAACAGAGTTTAAATATCTTAAAAAGGCATTTTTTCCATATTCTAATAGGTTTTTGATTGTATTATGTTTTGGTACACAGGAGCTTATATACATAAATATGTCCGTACAGTGTAAATGTAATACTTTACACTTGTGACAGCATCAGTTATATGTTGACTTACTTCTAAATATAACATTCAATCATTGCTATGGGAAAATTGGACAATATTTTTCTTATTCTCTTTAAAATCACGAAACCCTGTTTTTTTCAATCAGAGCTGTGTTGATATTTTTCTATCCCTGTGGATTATAAGTTTTGTTCCCTAGGGAAGATGCATTTTGAAGTTAGCCATTTACTGTGGGTTAATGTATTTTGGTATTAGACAGATGAATTGTTTAGTCAGGTGTTTACCTTAGGTTTGTGTATTTTGAAGTTTAGTGTTTGCCTTGTGAAAGTACATTCTGAAGTAAGGTGTTTACCTTAGATATATATTGAAATTGAATGTTTACTTTGGAAAGGTATATTTTCAAGTTAGGTGTTTACCTCTGGTAGATATATATTTTTGAAGTTTGATGTTTACCTTGGGTCATCCTTGAACACTTCTTGTCCCTGGCTTCCATCATCATATATTGCAGCATCATCCCGGCTTGAAATGGTCACTTCTTGTTTTGGCAATTCAACCTTGAAATAAATAAACGAAATATAAACTGCAACATGTAACTAAGATACCAAAGAATGCTACAAGAGGCCCAATGGGCCTGCATCGCTCACCTGGTATTAATCTCACACTTGTAATCTTAAAAGTGGACTAAAATACAGCTACAGACAGAGTATCAGTGTAAGATTCATAAGAACCTATTAAAAGATTTAAACATATGATGTCTGTGACCTTGAATGTCGAACAAGGACATCAGGTTGAAAGTGGGTCAAGGTCATTCATTTGAACAAACTTGGTAGCCCTTCATCCCAGCATGCTACAGGCCCAATATCAGTGCCCTGGGCCTTTTGGTTATTGAGAAGAAGTCGTTTGAAGATTTTAAGACATCTGACCCCAGTGACCTTGAAAAGTGGGTCAAGGTCATTCATTTGAACAAACTTGGTAGCCCTTCATCCCAGCATGCTACAGTCCCAATATCAGTGCCCTGGGCCTTTTGGTTATTGAGAAGAAGTCGTTTGAAGATTTTAAGACATCTGACCCCAGTGACCTTGAAAAGTGGGTCAAGGTCATTCATTTGAACAAACTTGGTAGCTCTTCATCTCAGCATGCTACTGACCAAATATCATGAGCCTGGACCTTTTGGTCATTGAGAAACGAGAGGCCTAATGGGCCTACATCGCTCACCTGGTATAAATCTCACACTTGTAACCTTAAAAGTGATCTAAAATAAAGCTACAGGCAAAATATCAGTATTTATGATTAAAATTCATTCAAAAGACCCTGTTAATGTTTTTTTTAAACATTTCACCCCTGTGATTGAAAGTTGAACAAATTTTATAGCCTTTCATCTCAGCATGCTACTTGCAAAGTATCAACATCCTGGGCCTTTTGGTTATCCAGAACAAGTTGTTTAAATATTTTGAACATATTTGCTCCTTGTGACCTTGAATATGATTCAAGGTCATACAGTTAAACAAACTTGGAAGCCCTTGATCCAAGCATGCTACTGGCCAAATATCATCTCCCTGGGCAGTTTGGTTATCGAGAAGAAGTTGTTTAAAGTTTTTAACATATTTGACACCTGTGACCTTGAATATAATTGAAGGTCATTCAATTGAACAAACTTGGTAGCCCTTGATCCAAGCATGCTACTGGCCAAATATCATCACCCTGGGCATTTTGGTTATTCAGAAGAAGTTGTTTAAAGTTTTTAAACTTATTTGACCCCTGTGACCTTGAATATGGGTGAAGGTCATTCAGTTTAACAAAACTTAATAGCCCTTTATCCTAGCATGTTATTGGCTAAATATCATTATCCTAGGTCTCTTAGTTATTCAGAACTAGTTGTTTAAAGATTTTTCAAGACAATTGACCCCTGTGACCTTGAATATAATTGAAGGTCATTCATTTGAACAAACTTGGTAGCCCTTCACCCAAGCATGCTACTGGCCAAATATCATCTACTAGGGCAGTTTGGTTATCGAGAAGAAGATGTATAAAGTTTTTAACATATTTGACCCCTGTGACCTTGAAAATGGGTGAAGGTCATTAATTTTAACAAACTTTGTAGCCCTTCGTCCCAGTTTGCTTCTGGCCAAATATCGACACCCTAGGCCTTTCGGTTATTAAGAAGAATTCATTTAAAGTAAAATATTGACGCCTGACGGACGCCGCGCCATAGCAAGCTCACTTGGCACTTCGTGCCAGGTCCAGGTGAGCTAAAAAATGTTTGAAGATTTTTAGATATTTGAACCCTGTGACCTTGAAAGTTGGTCAAGGTCATTCATTTGAACAAAATTGGTAGCCCTTTATCCCAGCATACTACAGGCCCAATATCAGTTCCCTGGGCCTTTTGGTTATTGAAAAGTCATTTGAAGATTTAAAGACATCTGACCCCAGTGACCTTGAAAGTGGGTCAAGGTCATTCATTTGAATAAACCTCGTAGCCCTTTATCCTAGCATGTTACAGGCCGAATATCAGTACCCTGGGCTATTTGGTTATTTATAAGAAAACGTTATTTGAAGATTTTAACATATTTTCCCCCTGTGAACTTGAAAGTCGGTCAATGTCATTCATTTGAACAAACTTTGTAGCCCTTCATCCCCGTTTGCTACAGGCCCAATATCAGTACCCTGGGCCTGTTATTGGTTATTGAGGAGAAGTTGTTTAACGTTTCTAACATATTTGACCCCTGCACAATATTTTGGTTTTCTGAAACTGTTTGATCATCTTCAGCTGGTTCTGAGGTTCCTCCACACGTTATCAATTAAAGTAGACATTGTCTAACCATGCCAACAGAAACACTTCTAACTATCAACATATATCTGATATAATTAATCTATTTACCTACCTTTGAATATGTATGTTTACTGTATCTATTAACCTACCTGTGTATGTTAACTGTATCTATTAACCTACCTATGTATGTTTACTGTATCTATAACCTACCTGTGTATGTTTACTGTATCTATTAACCTACCTATATATGTTTACTGTATCTATTAACCTACCTGTGTATGTTAACTGTATCTATTAACCTACCTATGTATGTTTACTTTATCTATAACCTACCTGTGTATGTTTACTGTATCTATTATCCTACCTGTGTATGTTTACTGTATCTATTAACATACCTATGTATGTTTACTGTATCTATAACCTACCTATGTATGTTTACTGTATGTTTACTGTATTTATTAACCTACCTGTGTATGTTTACTGTATCTATTAACCTACCTATGTATGTTTACTGTATCTATAACCTACCTATGTATGTTTACTGTACGTTTACTGTATTTATTAACCTACCTGTGTATGTTTACTGTATCTATAACCTACCTTTGTATGTTTTACTGTATCATTTATTGTAAGCCTACCGGTGTATGTTTACTGTATCTATAACCTACCTGGGTATGTTTACTGTATCAGTTATTGTAAGCCTACCGGTGTATGTTTACTGGATCAGTTATTGTAAGCCTTCCTGTGTATGTTTACTGTATCTATAACCTACCTTTGTATGTTTACTGTATCTATAACCTACCTGTGTATGTTTACTGCATCAGTTATTGTGAGCCTACCTGTGTATGTTTACTGTATCTATAACCTACCTTTGTATGTTTTACTGTATCAGTTATTGTAAGCCTACCGGTGTATGTTTACTGGATCAGTTATTGTAAGCCTTCCTGTGTATGTTTACTGTATCTATAACCTACCTGTGTATGTTTACTGTATCATTTATTGTAAGCCTACCTGTGTATGTTTACTGTATCATTTATTGTAAGCCTACCTGTGTATGTTTACTGTATCTATAACCGACCTTTGTATGTTTTACTGTATCAGTTATTGTAAGCCTACCGGTGTATGTTTACTGCATCAGTTATTGTAAGCCTACCTGTGTATGTTTACTGTATCTATAACCTACCTTTGTATGTTTTACTGTATCAGTTATTGTAAGCCTACCGGTGTATGTTTACTGCATCAGTTATTGTAAGCCTACCTGTGTATGTTTACTGTATCTATAACCTACCTGTGTATGTTTACTGTATCAGTTATTGTAAGCCTACCTGTGTATGTTTACTGTATCAGTTACTGTAAGCCTACCTTTGAGTTGCTGTAATCGTCCTGTTCCTTTACGGGTAGTAGACTGACAGTTGTGTTGTACCCAGCAGGGTTACACACGGACAACACAATCTTACACTCCTGTGTCAACACAAACAGCATCATTAAATCAAAATACAGGGTTCCACAGGGACAACACTTGATTATCATGGCTTGTTTTACCATGTCTACACCACCTTACACTGGACTGTTCATACATCATTCTTACCCCAGAAACTTGAACCTGTTTATTTCAGGTGAAAAAGTAAAACATAAAAGAAGTAAAAAACTGCATCAATATTAGACCCTGAAGAAATTTCCTGCCATTTTAGTACAAAAATTTATGAATGGTAAGCCTTGCATCAAAACATTTTAGTGGAAGTAAATTCACAAGATTTTAAAATCAACTTAAGCAGAGAGTTGTCTCCCCTATACTGTACAGAATAACGCTTACTTTTTGATAAGTTATGATAGAATGAGGAACAACATTTATTGTTCTTTCCTTTGTGGCTTGCTAATATATTTACTTTTGCTGCCTTGTGGTCAGGTGATATTTTACATTTTTTAACGTACCTTTTTGTGTTTAAGTTCTGTAGGCGAAAACATTCTTATCTCTGGAACATGAAGTCTGCAAACAAAAATCAAACTAATCACAAATGGTTAATACCTCTACAATATACACAGTCATCAATTTTGATAACACAGTAGTATTTCTATATAACATAAATATAATATCACAAATCCTGATGAATTATCTATTAGGTATATAAAATATAAAACTTTCTAAAAAACTGTCTCTGAGAGTTATATAAAACCTCCTGATGACTTCACTTTTGCCCATTTTCTTTCGCCAATAGATCTTGGTCTACAGTGTTTTTTTTTATCAAAATGTACCCACCATATGTCTTTCATTTACAAATTATTTAATAAACAATAAGTAAAAATAAACTGAAAAATACACAATATCAGAATGAAGGCACCAACTGAATAATTTCATCTCAATGTTTATTTGAACTGAGGTAATAAAGATGCAAGACCAGGATACTACAAGGTCATAAAGGGCAAGTAATAAGCCATGGTGGCCATCTTGGATTTTAGAATTTGGATAATACATATGTATAACCGTATTCACCATGTAGACTTATCACTAAGTACCATTTAAATTGAAGTAGGAACAAAATCTAACCAATAAAACAAAACTTGAAGTTTCAATCAATTAGAAGTGACCGATGGTGGCCTCCTTGGATTTTGGATTTGGATATTATAGCATCATTTACATAGACCATCCGCCAAATACCACTTAATATCAAAATGAACACAGACAAAGGACCCTACCATGACGTTTTGACAGTATATTGGCCCTGTTTGATCTTAACAGTGATGAACACAGACAAAGGACCGTACCATGAAGTTTTGACAGCATATTGGCCCTGTTTGATCTTGACAGGTAACTATGACCTCGAATATTTAAAAAATAAAATTTATGAAAAAAAAAAAAAACCAAAAAAACGTGGTGTGTCAGAAAGTGCAATAAAATAATTTTGAAAATATATCTCGTTTTATTTTAAAGTAACCTTGACCTGGAATTTAGGAACTTGTTAAACCCTTTCTGCACATCTTCATATCACAGCATATCACCATGTAGCATTTTAGGAATAACATAATCCTGGACACTCAGAAAATGTCTAGAAATGTTGACAGACAGATGTAATAATAATTTTGGTAAAACTTCCTTTTCATTAAAAGTACATAAAATTCAACCCTGAGGATCAATTCAAAGCTGGTCCCAAGCCCTCATTGAAAAAGGAGAAAAACAAAAGTAAGAGAAAAGCACAAGCAATACTTACAGTGCTATCAACTGGATCTTAAACTTTATAGAAACTGGATTAAATTCTGGTTTGCTCAAGTTGTGTTCACATTCCTGAAATGCAAGACCAACATTTTAACCTTTATTGTATTAAATGGATCCTGTTATGGCCAACTATAGATAAGCTTTTGCAAACAAATGTTTCCCTTTATCAGTCAATATGCATACTTGCTTTGCACTTATTTGACCTTTGACCTAGAAGTGAATGTCCTGATGACATTATATAAAATTATATAACACTGCAAACATCTTGTGGTTGATGCGGTATTGCTCCAAGTTACATTTTACTAAGACTATGCATTTTTTTTAAGATGACTTTTGACCTGGAGGTAAAAGTCATTATGACCTAATTATACATCTTTGGCTTGTGAAAGTATACTGCAGTTTTCATCAAAATATCTTAAACAATTTAAAACTTATGGTCAGGACAAGTTTTCCCAGAAATGTTACACCTTTTAGCTTCAGGTCAAGGTAACACTGGCTAAATTACAGTGCATTACACACCTTCAGGTAATTTTTAACTTTTGAACTTAATTGACCTTTGACCTTGATGTGAAGATCAAGGTAACCTTATTTTTGTGCAGTGCACACCTTCAGTAGGTGATGCAGTTATCCTTCATGTTTCATTAAGTTATCATATCAAGGTTTAAAAGTTGTGGTCTGGAATATTTTCTACAGGATTTAGTGTCGACCTGGTGCTAAAGGTCATTGCGATCTTGTTACCCTGTATTACACACCCCTTTTGACTGCAGATGCAGGTATACTGCAGGTTTCATCATTTTTTTCATTTTTTTTTTTACAGTTTTTACAGAACTAAGAAGTAAAATTCATAAATATCTCTCTGCCAAGAACTGCTTCAACAGGACCACAAGAAGCTACTTGTATGTTACAAGAGAGGAGCAACTCAAATTTTGGTCTTGTGTTTATTGCAGTCCACACACAAATGGGAGCTTGTTGAAGCCCATGTGACTCCTGCCTACCTTACACCTAAGTGACCTGCGGATCAGCAAATGCTTGTGGCGAGGATGCAAGGACTCTGCCTCCTCTGGCTGGAATTCTGGACTGGCAAGTCTCTGCCCAATACTGGCAACTACAAGCAGTATAAGAAATTAGAAATCGTGCAATGGTATCCCCATTCTGTCTGTCAATCAAACCAAATTGTCAACAACATTTGTTATAACCTATGAAATTTGGTCATTAAATAACAATGTGAGTCATTCTTTATCTGTGGTATTTTTCAGGAAGTTAATAGAACCTTGATACATCAGAATCTGTTCATTTGTATATGAATGCATTAAGACCATTCTAAGGCTGCTAAACAATATATGCTTGTCACATACCTTACAGTGTTCATTTACTATTGAGACTAACTGGTCAAGTGTTGCACTACTGAGGCCTTTTAGCAATAAAATTAATCAAAATATTGATTATAAAATGTAACAAGTAGAAATTATAGTATATTCCTCAGTGTTGAAAACATATCATACTTAATTACATTGGGCATATGGTAATTGTGCTCTGATATTGGCTTCACAGATAAAGATTGCCTCATTTTGCCCATATTCCAAATTTTCTTAGACAAAAACATTAACATAAAAGGGCCATACTTTTTTGTATAGTGATCAAATTTCAGTTGGCAACACTCTGTCTTCCCCAAAATACCTACGTATAACAAATGTGGTGCATAAAAAAGTACAATAGTAAGGGAGTTTTTTCAGTCAAATTTGGTATAAAACAAAGGATCATGAAACCCTATTGCATTATGCAACATTAAATATGTAAATATAGCAAGTTTTGCACAATGAATTGAAGTAACAATTTACCTGAAGTCATTACTTACTTTTGTCCAATAATACTGGCTTTGTGAAGAAGTCATCTGTCAGAGGATCAAAGTCAACTACAGCCTCCGAGGGAGAGAACGTTTTAATCACAGCCTCCTCATTCTCTTTCAGGGTACTGAAACAACAGGTCATGGTTAAACACCCTAGTATACAAAGTACAATACAACATTAATCTAGGTATATTATTATCATTCTCTTTCAGGGTACTGAAACAACAGGTCATGGTTAAACACCCTAGTATACAAAGTACAATATAACTTTAATCTATGTTTATTATGAAGGTTGTTTTGGGAGATATCATCAAATAAAAACAATATATGTATCCATACAAAATTAGGTTTCACAAAGCAATTTTATACTTTCTTTTCCATATACCAGTACATACATCAGATTTCTTTGGTTATACATATGTATGAGTAAGATACTGCAGATATATTTATCTTTTGACTACATAGGCATAGTTTTTTAAAATCATGTATCTAGATACAGTCTTAAATTTGCTATTTTTTCAACATTTTTTTTCATAATCAATTAGAATCTAGTAAATGTAGCAATGCTACTTTTCCTACATATTAATTTATAAATACATGTTTATATCCATCTGTGATACTCAGTATTTGTTTGATATTTTGTGTCTATTTCTAATACCTAGTATACATCTCTAATACTTGCATAATCAAGTTTTTTGTTATTTTAGAAGAAAACTTTGAATACATCTGACATAACCACACAACACTTATGAATGATCACACACAAGATAAGAGCAAGAAACAACACAGATTATTGCTATGTGTTGTAGACAACACCTGTTCTACGTCACTGTCTTTAATCTGTTCCTTTTCTGGTCTGGTTAATGTGTATTAAATTTATGAAATATTATAAACCGAATACAGACTGTTTAAAGGCCTCAAAATACCAAATCGCCTACCAACAAATTTACAGTATCCTATCTCCTGAGAATATTATTAATACATTACTATAGAACAAAGACGATCTAGCTAAACTAGAAGGTTGATGGAAGGATGTGTAGGAAAAACCGGGGCACATGGGAATAAATTACTAAACAGTCGCTCAAATTACAACCAAACCTAACTTGAGTAAGATTCTTGGAGATTGAGATGATTATATTTGAGTAGCTGGGTACATTTGGATATTTAGTGAGATAATCCACACACCCAATAAGCATAGACATTACATTACACAATATTGTTATGTTTGATTACTATATTCCCCACAGTACACAGAACAACACAGCTAGTTACATATTGGAGTACACCTGCATAGGAACTATCAGTATTCCCCACAGTACACAGTACAACACATTAACTAGCTAGTTACATATTGGAGTACACCTGCAGAGGAACTATCAGTATTCCCCACAGTACACAGTACAACACATTAACTAGCTAGTTACATATTGGAGTACACCTGCAGAGGAACTATCAGTATTCCCCACAGTACACAGTACAACACATTAACTAGCTAGTTACATATTGGAGTACACCTGCAGAGGAACTATCAGTATTCCCCACAGTACACAGTACAACACATTAACTAGCTAGTTACATATTGGAGTACACCTGCAGAGGAACTATCAGTATTCCCCACAGTACACAGTACAACACATTAACTAGCTAGTTACATATTGGAGTACACCTGCAGAGGAACTATCAGTATTCCCCACAGTACACAGTACAACACATTAACTAGCTAGTTACATATTGGAGTACACCTGCAGAGGAACTATCAGTATTCCCCACAGTACACAGTACAACACATTAACTAGCTAGTTACATATTGGAGTACACCTGCAGAGGAACTATCAGTATTCCCCACAGTACACAGTACAACACATTAACTAGCTAGTTACATATTGGAGTACACCTGCAGAGGAACTATCAGTATTCCCCACAGTACACAGTACAACACATTAACTAGCTAGTTACATATTGGAGTACACCTGCAGAGGAACTATCAGTATTCCCCACAGTACACAGTACAACACATTAACTAGCTAGTTACATATTGGTGTACACCTGCAGAAGAACTATCAGTATTCCCCACAGTACACAGTACAACACATTAACTAGCTAGTTACATATTGGTGTACCCCTGCAGAAGAACTATCAGTATTCCCCACAGTACGCAGTACAACACATTAACTAGCTAGTTACATATTGGAGTACACGTGCATAGGAACTATCAGTATTCCCCACAGTACACAGAACAACACAGCTAGTTACATATTGGAGAACACCTGCAGAAGAACTATCAGTATTCCCCACAGTAAACAGTACACCACATTAACTAGCTAGTTACATATTGGAGTACACCTGCAGAAGAACTATCAGTATTCCCCACAGTACACAGAACAACACAGCTAGTTACATATTGGAGTACACCTGCAGAAGAACTATCAGTATTCCCCACAGTACACAGTACACCACATTAACTAGCTAGTTACATATTGGAGTACACCTGCAGAGGAACTATCAGTATTCCTCACAGTACACAGTACACCACATACACAATATTGTTATGTTTGATTACTATATTCCCCACAGTACACAGAACAACACAGCTAGTTACATATTGCAGTACACCTGCAGAAGAACTATCGTACAACACATTAACTAGCTAGTTACATATTGGAGTACACCTGCAGAAGAACTATCAGTATCATATGGATAACAATCAATGTTGTGATGAAACCTGAAAATAGTGATGATCAACAATCAGAAACTGTTTTTAAATTTTCACAATAACTTTGTTAGGTCATATCATAAAACAATTTTCATCTTTAGTTTCCATGAATATGGAGATAATTAGGAAAATATCTTCAATAAAAGGAATGATTAAATCCATATTCACTTCTTCAAAAGACTAAAACTGTCAGCTAAATTCAGTGGTGATTATGATGTTACATAGAAAACTACAGTGATAACACTTACCAAAATCTGTGAATGCTTCATAACAAAAAACAGTCAATGATTGAAATGTATTCCAACAGATGACAGTGAGGCTACACCAGTCTAAAGGTCAAGGTGAAATAATGGAGCCATATGAGCCAAGTGCTCGAAGATAAACAAAAAAGCAGCGAGGAGCCTACTGCACTCGGTTAAAATTAAAATAAAGTGGAACCTCATGCATTCAGACAAGGATGTCCTGAAGATTTATGAATCAGGAAAAAAACTCTGTAGCCATTGTGTCTGTAATGTCTAAAGTCTTAATATTTGGCCAATACATTATGTATTAACAAGGTTTTCTATAAATGACCAGGAAAACTAAGATAACTTTAATATTAGAAGGCTGGTATTAGTAATTATGCAAATGTTTTCATTTCTACGTATCTTTTATATATGTGACCTGAAGCAAATATCCTGCATTAAATACTATTTGTTGTAAGTAAGTATACAAAACAGCTTTCAGTGACTGCGGTTAACAGAACCACAGTGTTTTTAGGGTAGACAGAAACACAGTACTTTCATGATAGTACTTTCATGATAGACAGAAACACAGTACTTTCATGATAGTACTTTCATGATAGACAGAAACACAGTACTTTCATGATAGACAGAAACACAGTATTTTCATGATAGACAGAAACAGTGCTTTTTCAGGGTAGACAGACACAGTGTTTTTAGGGTAAACAGAAACAGTGCTTTTTAGGGTAAGCAGAAACAGTGGGTTTTTTCTGGTTAACAGAAACACAATGTTGTTTAGGTTCCTAAAATATAAACTCATTCAAAATATTCTCATACTTGACATTGCGTAAACTTCTATCAAAACCTGTTGACAAATAAAGTTGCTGGTAGATAATACTTTGCAGGAGTGATGACAGTATTGGGACAGGACAAAGGGGACAGGATTGTATGTACATTAGTATGCCCCCCCCCCCCTCCATTAAATGGCAGGGGCATACACAATTTCTTTAAAGACCTGCTCGATAGATGCCATTGTAATGGCATAGTAAAGTGTTATTCCTTCCCACAGATATACAGATTTTATTATGGTTTTTACGGAAATTATGCAAAATATATGTTGTAAATATGTAGCCCTTCAGATAGGCATTTAGTTAGAAACACAATTTGTTGCCTTATTGGTAGGTATTTTGTGAAGACTTTACTTTGTTGCCCTACTGGTAGATATTTTGTGAGGACTATACATTGTTGCCCTACTGGGAGGAATTTTGTGAGAACTATACTTTGTTGCCCTACTGGTAGATATTTTGGGAGGACTATACTTTGTTGCCCTGCTGGTAGGTATTTTGTGAGGACTATACTATGTTGCCCTACAGGTAGGTATTTTGTGAAGACTATACTTTGTTGCCCTACTGGTAGATATTTTGGGAGGACTATACTTTGTTGCCCTGCTGGTAGGTATTTTGTGAGGACTTTTCTTTGTTGCCCTACTGGTAGGTAATTTGAGAAGACTTTACTATTTTGCCCTACAGGTAGGTATTTTGGGAAGACTTTACTTTGTTGCCCTACAGGTAGGTATTCTGTGAGGACTATACTATGTTGCCATACAGGTAAGTATTTTGTGAGGACTTTACTTTGCTGCCCTACAGGTAGGTATTTTGTGAAGACTTTACTTTGTTGACCTACTGGTAGGTATTTTATGAAGACTCTACTTTGTTGCCCTACTGGTAGGTAGTTTGTGAAGACTACTTTGTTGCCCTACTGGTAGGTTTTTTGTGAGGACTTTACTTTGTTGACCTACTGGTAGGTATTTTATGAAAACTTTACTTTGTTGCCCTACTGGGAGGTATTTTGTGAGGACTTTACTATGTTGCCCTACTGGTAGGTATTTTATGAAGACTCTACTTTGTTGCCCTACTGGTAGGTTTTTTGTGAGGACTTTACTTTGTTGTCCTACTGGTAGGTATTTTGTGAAGACTACTTTGTTGCCCTACTGGTAGGTTTTTTGTGAGGACTATACTTTGTTGCCCTTCTGGTAGGTATTTTGTGAGGACTTTACTATGTTGCCCTACTGGTAGGTATTTTGTAAAGACTTTACTTTGTTGCCCTACTGGTATGTATTTTGTGAGGACTTTACTTTGCTGCCCTACAGGTAGGTATTTTGTGAAGACTATACTTTGTTGCCCTACTGGTAGGTTTTTTGTGAGGACTTTACTTTGTTGCCCTACTGGTAGATATTTTGTGAGGACTTTACTTTGTTGCCCTACTGGTAGGTTTTTTGTGAGGACTATACTTTGTTGCACTACTGGTAGGTATTTTGTGAAGACTTTTCTTTGTTGCCCTACTGGTAGGGATTTTATGAAAACTTTACTTTGTTGCCCTACTGGTAGATATTTTGTGAGGACTATACATTGTTGCCCTACTGGGAGGAATTTTGTGAGAACTATACTTTGTTGCCCTACTGGTAGTTATTTTGTGAGGACTATACTTTGTTGCCCTATTGGTAGGTATTTTGTGAGGACTTTACTATGTTGCCCTACTGGTAGGTATTTTATGAAGACTCTACTTTGTTGCCCTACTGGTAGGTTTTTTGTGAGGACTTTACTTTGTTGCCCTACAGGTAAGTATTTGGTGAGGACTATACTTTGTTGCCCTACTGGTAGGTATTTTGTAAAGACTTTACTTTGTTGCCCTACAGGTAGGTATTTTGTGAGGACTATACTATGTTGCCCTACAGGTAAGTATTTTGTGAGGACTATACTTTGTTGCCCTACTGGTAGGTATTTTGTGAAGACTTTACTTTGTTGCCCTACAGGTAGGTATTTTGTGAGGACTATACTTTGTTGTTCTACTGGTAGGTATTTTGTGAGGACTTTACTTTGTTGCCCTACTGGTAGGTATTTATTTAGAACTATAACTGACCACTGACAGTATTGTATAAAAACACATGTAAATATCTGACCCAGGAAAACTGAAGTGCTATAGAGTTCACATCCACTAAACTCCACCCCTCCGTACTATTAAGACTCCATGTCTAGTCTAGAAGTGGATATTCTTCATGTTTCTATACTAGTTTGTATGGTTTACAGTAAAACAGGTGGTACATGTAATCATACATACATATCTTTATTTACCTCATACTAGAGCCGACAGATGCCTTCTTCTTCGCAGCAACAGATGTCAGTCCATACTTGTCCATGCTGGCCTGTAATCATGTACCCCCGGGTAGAAGTTTAATGTTTTACCTCAGAGCACCATCATTTATGTGGCGTTGCAGTATTACAGTAAAAACTAATATTAATGAAATCAGTACTTTAAATCTTCCTTTATGTAGTGACTGGGACAGAATGGTATACACCCATCACATGCCATGTATCCTCCACTTAGTATCACTGTATAAGTGACTGATAGACTGATGAACAGGTAGAAACTACCCTTACTACACCTAGGTATACACCTATACATTGCTAAAAACATTAATTGCAGTGCAGAAATCAGATTATTATTTACAACAAATTGCCAGATTACCAAGTGATTCTATGTTGAATCAAGTTGCACAAGTTCTATGACAGAAAAAAATGTAGATTGTATGATCGAAAATAACCTTATAGGCATTCTGACCTTACAAACATAAATATGTAGTACTTGGTAATGTAGTTGCTTACTAAAATCATTTTAAATTATCATAAAAGTACTAGATAAAGAAAAATTAATTAGCATAAAAAAAACCTATAAATAACCACAAGTTATTTTCACACGTACAGCATAGTTGAGATAACTGCGTCGCCTCACATATTTTTTCCTTTCTTTTTCCGTCTTTTCCCGCTGGGCGAGTTGTTGGTAGGTCTCCAACAGAGAGAAAATCTACAATAGAAATCAACTCTTTTGTTCTTTATCAGATACATATAATTGCTAACAAAAAACCCCAAAAATGTGAATACATGAGAAAAGACGGATTTTTTTTAATTCTTATTGGTCAATCCTATTCTATGAAAATGTGTATATCTGGATTACTTCCTTTATTTATTTTACAAATTAACAACTATGACCAGATTTTTCAGCTTATATTTATCACTCTCATTGTCTCAGATGGATGTGCTTAGAGAGTCTTAATTTAGGAGAAAATCTGTTACCATTACTGGAGTACCCATGTGGTTGGAAGGATGACTAAATACATATTCACGTCCAATAGGAGAAGCAAACTTAAATAGATTGATAACATTTCTACAGATTTATTTCTAAATTTATTAATAGCCATAGTAAGTTCTAGTAATATACATTTGAAACTTTAATTCATTAAAATAATTAATAAAATATTTTATGATAGTTGTGGAGGCACGGTAGTCTAGTGGTAGGATGCCGGGCTAATGACTGAAGTGTTGCAGGTTCCAGTCATGGCACAACACTGTGTTGTATCCTTGATCAAGATACTTTACTCCACTTGTTCAAGTCTACTCAGCTGTAAATGAGTAGTGGTTGGGCAGTGCTAGAATTGTATAATGGCAGCACCAGCTGTATGCTCCCCAGTGAGTTGAGAAAGATATTGGCTGGTTGCAAAGGCCCTATAACCACGGATAATAACTTGTGAACCGCTTAGAGGTGACTTACGAACTTGATTGTGATAAAGCGGTATATAGGAACCTCAAATTAGTATTATTATTAAAATGATTTTCTCTTTTGTCATTGATGAAGAGGAACAATAAGGGAAATATATTATGGCTAAAAAAAAGCAGAATTTCTTTCTGGGAAAAATAACATGACAAATGAAAACCGACTGATCATGACTACACAGAACACATACTGTTGACCAGCTAACTACACAGAACACATACTGTTGACCAGCTGACTACACAGAACACATACTGTTGACCAGCTACGTACTCACCCTTTTAGAATCTGGATTTTCAAGAGCTTCCCAACATCCACTGGCTACAGAGCAAGACAAAGATTTCAAATGAGTATAGTACACATGCTCATACCAGTACATAACATATTCCAATGACAATATAACATTATCGAAAAGAATAATGGATTACTAAAACATACATTTGTAACTTGGCAGATATCTTTGACACTAGTATAAGGTACAGAAAAGTGAAGCACATTATTGTGGCTTTTACACTATATACTAGTACCACAAACAAAATAGTAGCAGACATTACCTTGTGGCTTGTCAGTAATGCTTACATCCCTGGTGGTCCAGCGACAGAAACCACAAGCAAGGTAGTAAACCTTTTTGGATGTGGTCTTGCTTGGGTCGTCAGGATTGGTGACCACCTGACTTGTAGCCCTAGTGGTCATTGTATGACCACAGCTTGGACAGTCAAAACAGTTACTGCACCTGAAAGAATGCAGCATGTGTGAGGTCAGTATCTGACTCCCTATTATCATATATGATATATCTTACTTTTCTTTTAACGGTAGAGAATTCTGTTTCATTATTACAAAACAAATAAGCACAAAATCAAATATACTATTTGTTATCATACATATAGTTTTGTGCACATTTGATTCTGAATGAGTAATTGAAACTGTCTTTTTCAGATGGTAGCATATAAATCAAATAGAAATTATATAATGTGAAAAAGATTTTCATTAAGAAATAATATCAACAAGATACAAAGTTGGAAAAATAACACACAAAGAGGCAGAGAAGTCCAACGTCCTATTGGTGCTGGTTGGTAGATGTCTCGGTGAAGGAATCTTAGTTGGATAGCGTAGTATTCTAATAAAGCTCCATAGACGATAGGTAATACAAGTAGGTAAGAGATGGAGCATCAACACCAGGGATTACGTGAATTAGGAGGTTTTATTTGTTGACATGTTTCGGTAGGGCTTGGTTTGTTCTTCAATGACAATGAAATACAATGTCTACCCGAAGGACATTAGATATTTCTTATAAAATTACACGTGACCCATGTATCAATAAAGTCAACAAGAGGCCCAGAGGGCCTGTATCGCTCACCTGGATATCTAAGCAATCATGGCAAAATATTCTCCAAAGAGAACCAAGGGAATATACCAGACCCCAAAGCAAATCCTTTTAGCATATCTGTATTAAATTTTTCATGCCCAGCAATTTATGTACGGTTTACCGTTATGGGGTGGGAATCTCAACTGTTTCCAAGCTGTGACTCAGAAACTAGGTACATAAGTTGTGGCCAGACCCCAGGATCAATTCTAATATCATGACTGCATTCGTCTCTTTTTGCCCAGCATTTGTATTTATAGTTTTGGGATGGGGATCTCGACTATTTCAAAGTTATGACCCAGGGGTTAAGTCTGCAAAGGTGGGGCAGACCCTGGGGTCCATTCTAACATCATGACTGCATTAGTCTCTTTATGCCCAACAATTGTATATATAGTTTTGGGGTGGGGATCTTAACCATTTTGAAGTTATGACCCAGGGGTTAAGTCTCCAAGGCTGGGGCAGACCCCAAGGCCATCCTGGAAGCATATGTGCATTCATTTCTTTATACTCAGCAATTGTATATATGGTTTTTGGGTGGGGATCTCAACTGTTTCCAAGCTGTGACTAAGAAACTGGGTCCCTAGGGGTTCGGTCCGACCCCAGGGACTAATATCATGACCGCATTCGTCTCTTTATGCCCAACATTTGTATATATAGTTTTGGGGAGGGTATCTCAACCGTTTCAAAGTTATGACCAAGGGGCTATGTCTCCAAGGGTGGGGCCAGACCCTAGAGCCATCCTGGAAGCAACTGTGCATTCTTCTCTTTATACTCAGCAATTGTATATATGTTTATACAATGGGGATCTCAACCATTTCTAAGGCCCCACCCTTTAGCCCGGGGTTCAGCAACAAAATTTGTACAATTTTGAATCCCTACCTCCCATGAATGCTTCCGACCAAATATGGTCAATATCCATGGCACAGTTCTACAGAAGAAGTCGTTTATAGCAATAAAGCCAAATTGCCCCCTTTTGGCCCCCCCCCTCAGCCCCTGGGGGGTCAGCTCCACCATTTGTACAATTTTGAATCCCCACCACCTGGGGATGCTTCCAGTCAAATATGGTTGATATCCATCTCTTAGTGCCAGAGAAGAAGTCGCTTAAAGCAATATAGCCAAATTGCCCCCTTTTGGCCCAGCCCCTCAGCCCTCTGGGGGGTCAGCCAAACCATTTGTACAATTTTTAATCCCTACCACCTAGGAATGCTTCCATTCAAATATGGTTGATATCCATCTCTTAATTCCAGAGAAGAAGTCGCTTAAAGCAATATAGCCAAATTGACCCCTTTTGGCCCCAACCCTCAGCCCTACCATTTGTACAATTTTGAATCCCCACCACCTGGGGATGCTTCCAGTCAAATATGGTTGATATCCATCTCTTAGTTCCAGAGAAGAAGTCGCTTAAAGCAAATTCCAATCAGTGGTTAAGAAGAAGAAGTCGTTCAAAGTAATTGTTGACGTACAGACGACGGATGACGGACGGACGACGGACGCCACGGTATCGCATAAGCTCACCTTGGTCCTTTGGACCAGGTGAGCTTATAAAAGTGTTCTCATACTTTGACTTCCTTGTAGGCATGTTCAGCCAGTGACCACTATGTACACACCGATTGAGAACCTGCAACTTTAACGAACTACAACGGCACTACCAAACATTCCTGTCCAAGTATATATATTTTACCATCCCCAGCCAACCGGCCTGCCCCATACTGTATGGCCATCCCCACATGGAACTTTAAGAACACTGGCTGAACATGCCTATGAGGAAGTTAAAGTATGAGAACACTTTAATTGACTTTATTGATACATGGGTCACGCGTAATTTTATAAGAAATATCTATTGTCCTTCGGTTAGACATTGTATTTCATTGTCATTGAAGAACAAACCAAGCCAGTCTTGCTTTTTACCACTGTTTATGTTGTAGCCGATAATAACGTCGCCAATTTGCAGTCACAATTTCCTGCCAAAACTTGTTTATATCACGTGATCTAAATAACAATATCATGATGTCATAATATTGTGAACCGTAATTTGCACCTTAGCTCTACAATGCCACTGTTAAATTGTCTGATGACGGCAGGCCTAGCCTACCGAAACATGTCAACAAATAAAATCTCCCGATTCACGAAATCCCTGGTGTTGATGATCCATCTCTTACCTACTTGAAGATACCAAATTGTACATATGTACCAAGAAATTAATATTGTCCATTTAATTCAAGTTACAACTGAACATACCTATTTTTCTTCAGTTTGGCTTCTGTTGATGGCATATGCTCGAGGCAGTTGGGACAGTATGGTGTGTCCACCTGAAATCAAAAGGAATAGTGTGCATGGTTCCAATGTTGCCAAACAATACCATACTTGTTGACTTTTGGAAATTTCCATTGGGGAGATTACGCTTGCTCAGAATTAAAAGCATAAATAAAATGTGTGTATGTTTATACACCCTAGGGGGAAAATGACACTTTTAAATGGCATAGTTTGACCTGTTCTTTCAGATGAATTCATTAGATCTTAAAATATAGGAAAAGTTTAGCAAATTCACTAGTTGAAAATGCTCAATTTTAGGGTCCAAAATAGGGAGTCTCCCTCCTAAATAGGGAGAGTTGGCATGTATGAATTACATGTGCTACTACTACAGCCCAAAAATATCTTGACTAGTTACTCTAAGCAGCAATTGAAAAAAATCAAAATCAAATGAATGTTAAGATGATCATGAGAAGATTTGTAGATTCTAGTATAGGAATGCTGGTCATTAGTGGGTAAACTTTTATCATAGTTTTCAGAGGAATTACCCCCTAAGTATCTTTTTTGCCCCAAAAACTATACCGCCCCAAAGTTGTTTTCGTCCCAACAGCCCTATCGCCCCTAAATCTTGCATTTTAAAAACTTTAACTGTTTTCATTTTCTGTAACGAATGCTAACGTCTGTTGATTAAATAATAGCCATCACTAAAATCATCAGGTCCAGAACAGTCACTCTGCCGATTGAGCTATATAGCTATAAATACCTATATAGCAATATTCACCTATAAGTTATTGCTGTATTAAGCTATAGTTTCTCAGATTTCAATTTTCATTTAATCAAAGCAAAGTCGCATAAAACAATAAGTCAGTTTTTTTTTACATCATTATTTTTTAAAAAGAATACTTATACTTAATGTTTTTTGTTATCAACCTAATGATAAAATCTTCTTTTAAAAACAACTTTGTTTCGTTTTCCTTAAAAAAGAAAATCACATGAAAATAGCTCAAAAGACCTATTTCAGATAGGTCAATAGAGCTATTATAGGTCTTTAATTACAGCTATATAGCTCAATCGGCAATGTACTGGACCTGATCATATCCAAAGAATATATACGGAATTACTCAAATGGTATATATTTTTTTTTTATATTTTTCTTATTTCAAAGGTATAGCAACACCCCTGTGAATAATGCAAAGTCGTTTTGGTTTTTCTCTCTAAACCATATGTAATTCGGTTTATAGACGCCATATCGAGGGAGTTATAATTGTTATGATGTCAGAGATGACACAACTTTTTCACATTTTCCCTATACAAAACATATACAACATCTCGGTTATGAACAATTAATCAATATACATGCATAAAAAATAAAATGTGTTTTCGTTTTCATCGTTTTATACGAGTGTCCAAAAAAATGACAATCGTTGAAAATCTGACGTGCACCCCCCCGCCCCATATTATCCAGACATAATACTGATATAGCACAAATTAATTACTTCATGAAGTACGCAATCTCCACATCTTAACTTCAAACAATGTCGGCACAAATAAAGCCTGCAAACAGGATGATTCTTCCCACAAGAGCATACGTATTTCACTAAGTTGACGTTCAGCGCCTGAAACGTCGCCATGTTGGCGATGACGAAATTATTTTCGGATTGCTTCGCCTTTTTCTTCTAAGTACTGGATATCATCAAAGGGTTTACGAAATGATAATTTTTTGGCAGACTTGCTTTAAATCTGCCGGAATCAGATGTTAATTAGGATACCGAGTTGAAGATACTTTGGACTTTTAAGACTCTGGCTAAATCTGTTACCGCGGAAACTTTAAACATAAACGCAGATAATTGTTTTGCTGGTTATATAAAACTTGATATAGTAAAGTATGCAACCAGATGCGTGATGGTTACATGTCAATGCCGACGCTTATACCACGGAATTAGATATCTAAGTCCGTGCCTATACACACCATTTTATAAGCATAATATAGTGAAAATATAAATCTTAACTCTTAAAAGTGACTTGTATTTTCAATAATACAAAACATTTCTTTTGATAATTTTATGCGTTTTAGGAAAGATTCAACTCGTGGTCAAAATCTGAATGTAAATTGTTATCATTTTCACCCAGACGGCATGTAACCAAACAAATTCACCCGATATATGGTACCCTATGCTGGGAGAGCTATATTGCCGAACTACAAAGGAAATCTTGGTAAGGGTTACATTACGACTACACTTTTATCAGTCATTTGCTTTTAGATGTTAGTGAAGTCCATGAGTGTTTTTCTTATTGTCATTGTCACTGATGCACGCTGTCTCACGCTGTGTACAGTAACTGTTTGTAACCCTAAGCTATGTAAGGGGGTAAATAAGGTTGGCGTTGTACACAGTAACAGCGCTTGGTCAGTGTAGTTTACAGTAGGGATCTCACCGTAAACCCCGCAATAATCGCTTCATCGTGAAGGATAACACTATTGGATTGACGTCTGCATTTTTGTGTCAATCAAGGAAAGATATTGTAATTTTGATTCTGCTTATTTTTTTACACCAGCTGTCATAGTTTATTTTTTGTCTCGCATGACAATATTTACAAACGGCGTAATCACTGGTAATGATAACCTTAGATTTGATAAATAATTCTTTAGCAAGAGAGCAATGCAAGTAAGACTTGAGAAAATCAACACAGTAAGATTAAATAAGGTATGTCACTATAACATCATGCTGCAATATTTGAGATGGAAATTCTCTCCACAGTGAGTGAGTGTGGAATTGTCTCGCATTTATGAGATTGACTTGCATGTTTATTTTTATTAACAACTTTTGCTTGAACAGTGTTACATTTGTTTAGTTTGAGAGGCTTCTCATCAGCCAAAATTTGGAGGATTTCGCTATAAAAGTATAAATCAAAAACCATTTAACCAAATGTTATGTATTGCATTGTCTGTCATATAAACAAATAATTGTGATTTTCAATCGTAAAATTGAACTCTAAAAATATAATGTTTTAGATGGCAAAATTGAAGTGCATCCAAGCATAATGTATACAGGAGTCTTGCAAATGCAAGACATTCAAATATTTTAAGAAAGTCCAGGGAACTCTGATGATATGATACTACCACTAGGTAATGACATTTTTAGGTCACCTGAGCTTTAAATAGCTCAATTAAGTGACCTATTGCTATCCGTCTTCCTCCGTCGTGCGTCGTCCGTTAACATTTTACATTTTCAACTTAAGCTGAAATACCTGCTAAGGGATTTCATTAATATTTCATGGGAAGGTTACTGAAATCTCCCTGACCAAGTGTTGTTATTTTTCGGGTCGATCAGAAATCCAATATGGCCGCCACGGCCGCCATTTTGAAAAACTATTTCAATCTTAAAGTCAAGTTCTGCTGGGCCGATTGAACTGAGACTTAGTAGGAATGATCGACTCATGCTCCTGACAAAGTTTTGTTATTTTTCGGGTCGATCAGAAATACAATTTGGCTGCCATGGCCACTATTTTGAAAATACCTATTTCATACTTAAAAACAAGTTCTAATAGGCCGATCTAACTGAATATCGGTCTAGGAAAGATCAGCTCATGGTCCTGACAAACTTAAGTTAACGTTATACTTAACAATTTTTACTCAAATTGGTACATATTTCAACAACAAAAATAAATCCTGTAGGACTCAGGTGACCGTTAAGGCCCATGGGCCTCTTGTTATAAATGTTGTCCAGTGGCAGCTTTTCATGAGAATATATTTGTTCTGGATAACATTAGGCAGTCACAGGGACCCTAAACTGTATATATGCAGGCAGCAAGGGGAAGCAGCTTTGAACATATGCAGCTTATGCCATACTGCAGCGTCCGTCTGTCGTCCGTCAACTTTCCCTTTAAAACGCTACTACTAGCCCTGAGCGGCCAAGAAGATTTTGACTAAATTTGGTCTGTAGCATCCTTAGGCCAAGGTGACTCAATTTTGTATAAACAGTGGGTGTGGCCCCCCTGGGGGCAGAGGGGCGGGGCCCAATTGGGAAAATAGAGGTAAAACCTTTAAAATCCTTCTTCTACTGTAGGGATTAAGGGATTTTATCCTAATTTAGTTTGGAGCATCCAGGACATAGGGGTGGGGCTCTGTTTGAAGTTTGTTCTCTCGCTATATCTCAAGTACTGGATTGATCTTTCTGAAAGTTCATATGTACTACTACTTACAGCTAGTATTCGTACCTACCATGGAGTGCTATATCTTTACTTTATACCAATTATTTTAAACATATTCAGGTGAGCGATACAGGCTCTCTGGGCCTCTTGTTATTCTAATTTATCTATCACATCCCCATAGGAATTATGACTGAGTTTCAATTACATAGTGCCAATACTTTGTCTTCATTTTATTATTTCAGGCACAGTTTCTGGTGCCATTGACATCCAAATGAAAGTTATATGTGATATAAATTAAGAAGATTTAAGTTTCAATGTCAAATGCTGTGTTACTGTGGCCAGATGTTGAGACATTAATAAAAACACAATTACTTATGACATCTTGATAAGCCATCTTACTTATCTAGTAAATTCTCGCTCTGTTGTAGTAAGTCTTCGAATTAAGATTTGTATACACCATATAGATGACAAGTCTATGTAATATTGATAATTTTAATGATTTCTTCTAGATGTAATGACATTTCATTAACCTGATTAAATAAAATCACATGCTAGTTTGCTAATCAAAATCAACTGAATCTTATTTTGTTTTTAGCTCAGTATGAGACATGCATGGACTTTCTGAAGTGTATGCTATGCTACTGGTATGGTATTTATTTTTAATATAAACAAATAGATAGCTAAATAATGTTATAATTATTACATACAAACACTGGTTGTTTTCAGTTTCAAATATTTCCCCCTAAGCCCTGGGTTCAGCCACTCAATCAACTAATAGCACTAACATACTGTAGTATAAATTATACGTAATACCTTTTGTATCAAGGAAGAATTTGATTCATAAAATTTGTTGTTATCTAAAAGAAATGGAAGATAAAATCAGCTACAAATATTTAAAAAAAAAAAGTTTTATTAATTTTACTGAAGCCTTGCAGTTTATTAACAAAATAATGAGACAAATATTATTGCTAAGCTGACATGATCCCGGGCTAATTTGATAGATTGTACTTCCTCATGCATGGTAAACATACCTGTGACGTTTGTGTCTGATTTGTCATCACACTTGACTGAATGATAATAATGGATTAGACAGTGATAAAGACCAGAGGAAACACCAGCAGCTATCTTGTCTATTATGGTGACCATGACATCTGGACACTTACGTCAGGCATGCCTCAAAGCACACGGCTTCAAAACAGGCCCGTATCACAGCAAATTATGCACACTTCTCAAATAACTTATGCAAACTGTTATTTTGATTAAGGAAGTAAATTTAAAGTATTTTTGAGTATTAATTTTCCGAACTTGATTTTATAATTAAAGATTATAGAATGGAATAACATATTTAAATGACATATATTAAAATACTATGTAAATTTGAAGTTGTCTGGTATCAAGAACAAGCTATATAGCTATAGCCACCTATTCAAATGAGCACATTGTATTCAGTTTGATGTGTTAATTACGGTCTGTAATCTATCATAAATGTGAACAACAATTATGAGTATAATGTATGACATGTAATGCATTAATATATTATTATACCAAAATAACTCTTAAAAATATTTCTTATACCTATTCAAAATGTTTTTAACAAGTTCATTATAATTAGGGTTTACTTTGATGTATTTATATATATAATCACAGAATTAGTCCGTTTAGTTGCTTTCTAAGTCTGTGCATTAATATGTTCTAAAAGAAGAGTTATACATGCCATCACTACTGTACAATAATAAACTTTTAACATGCTATATATACCTTCATAACCCATTTTTTTGGTCACTATTTGTCTGTATGACTGTAAACTATGTTTAGGATTGACATTATCAGGGCCTTTCTGTTGACTATAACATGTGTTTAGGATTGACATTATCAGGGCCTTTCTGTTACAAGTATGTTTAGCCATATTACATGTATCTGTCAGTTGTGTGTAGCTCTGCTAACAATATCCTAGATAAAACTCTGACAATGCAGTCATCATAATCTTAAGATTGCAGACAAGTAATGGTTAGATAATGTGTTGAGACAGGTGTGATAAGTTTTTTAGGTCACCTGAGCTCTGCTCAAGTGACCTATTCCAATCGCTTTCCGTCCGTCGTCGTCCATCGTTCGTCGTGCGTCGTGCGTCGTGCGTAAACTTTTACATTATCAACTTCTTCTCAAGAACCAGTGGATGGAATTTTTTCAAACTTGGTCAGAATCATCCTTGGTAGATGAGGCTACCAAATTGTAAAATTGGGATTTCTACCCCACCCCTAGGGGCCAGGGCGGGGCCCAAAAGGGAAAATTCACCAATATTTCAAAATCTTCTTCTCCAGACTCAGAGGGATTACAGTCATTTTCTCTGCATGGATGGAAAGAGCATCAGGGGCTTTATTTAAATTGTAAATTTCAGGACCCCCGGGCTATCCGTTCTCCCTTGGGGAGGGGGTAAAGTTTACTATAGTTTATATAGGGAAACAACACTTTTGGGTATATTTTGACAATTTTCTGTTGGAAATTATTTTTACTTGGTCAGAATTATCCTTGGAGGAGGGAGATGGTTTTAAATTGTAAAATTGGGATTCCTACCCCAACCCTAGGGGCCAGGGCGGGGGCCAAAAGGGAAAATTCACAAATATTTTAAAATTCTTATCCTTTGATGACATGACAAGTATTGTATTTCATTTAGTTTACATGCTGATTTCCACATCAAATCTATACTATAAAATAAAGTTACCAGTACCTATGTTATAACTCAGGTAACCGCTAAGGCCCTTGGGCCTCTTGTTTTGTTTGTGGTTGTTTGTGTTTGTGGTAGTTTCTGTAGTGGACCTGGTATTAACAAACCCAAGTGTCCACTTGTCTACCCCAAATTTATGACATTGATTCATAAAGATCTTATTAAGTAATATATAATATATGATAAAGCTTAAATATTATACTTTAATAAGAATCTTTATATATATAAGTGCCATTTACCTGTGGGGTAACATGTCACGTGGTTTTGGTGAAAACCTAACAAAGACAACTTTTAATACCGCCATGTTACGCTGTTACTACAATAAATGACAAAGGTTGACTGCTGACTGGGTTTATTTTTAACCGTAAATGTTTTTATTGTGGTTTTACAGGGCCATGGGTAGTGGTGTGTGGATCGAGATATATACAGTGGGTCAAGAGAAAGCCAGTCTCACACACTGGTGAGAGGATCACCATAACAAAGAAAGGACAGCAATGACAATTTACACGCCCAATCAGGATACACTGGCAAAAACACTTGCTTAATTTTCATTGAAATGCGCTTTATTTACAAGTGACTGAAGCCACCGGGCGGACTAGAGTCAGTGAAGTGGAACCACTGAGTTCAGCTGTTTGTCTAGCTAGAGGTGCCATTTGTTTTGATGCTCTGATAAGCCAGAGGTACATATGGCTTTGTGTAGATTAATGCTACACAAGTGTGCATAACTTTCTGATGACCACAGTATGTACGGGCAAGCTTAAAAATCTCAACTTTTATAAGACGGATATGTACTTGGTGACAGCCAGCTGGGATTGAATAGGGCTTTGTCAGCCTACATGGACTGGCAGCTATCCTCCATGGCTGTGTCCTATTTCAGTGTTTACATTTACTATAAACACTGACACCTCTGTGAAGGGGATATAATTTAGTTATTTAATCTGCAGTTTGGAGAGGATATGACTGTGTACATGAACCCCTGTCAAGTAGTTATCCGTCAACATAGAAATTTAGGTCTGGACCCCATCTGACCAGGTAAGATTGCTCGATCTCTTTTCCTTTCTTTTGTATCAGTAGTGTTTACATATCTGTGTAAGTTCAAACTCTGCTATTAAATTCTAGATATGATGGAAAGATATATGGATATACTTCAGCATATTCCTTTGCAAAATGAACATTTTTTGTTTGTGTACCTCGTATAAATATGTTATTGCTATTTCCAAAGATGATATGGCCAAATTTTAAATCATAAAGTTTCTGAACTTTCAATAGGAAAAGCCGTTAATCTTACATGGATTAATCTTCTATCTGTACTGACTTTACAGGGCATTATATTGGTACCAGCTTTATTGCTTCTCAAGGATCATGGTTGTATTGGATATACTGACCATGGGCATTGACCACCATTGTGTTTGATGTTGTTGGCATTATCAATATGAGTAAGGAAGATCGACCAGCTGTGTATCCCCCAAAATTAGAATCCTATAGGACTTCGAGAGGTGAAAGTTCACATTCATCAAATCAGGCCTCCAGTGCTCATTCAAGGCCTTCAACTGAGTCCCAATCTCACAGTGGTGCTAGAAGAAATTCTGGGAATTACCCTGATATTGTTGACAGTGATAACTGTTTTTTGCCATCAGAAAGTTTTACAGATCTAAGAAATACAATGGAATCTCAAAATAGTGCATCAAATCAAACCAATAACAGGCCTAGTACTTCTACATCAGGTGATTCAAGTGGACAAAGCACAAGGGCAGCAGCACCACAGTCACCAGGAGTGGTCAGCGAACATCGAAGGTCAATCAGTGCAATTATAGATCACCAAATGCAACAGGCATTAGAACAAAGTGTGCAAACCCATAACCTCCAAAGGGTCAGCCCTACCCAGGGGCTGTACCCTGCCATCTCTAGCTCTTCTACAGTCACAGCAACCACATCCACAGGAGTGACAGGTTCTACCCATATCAGTACACATGACCTCAGTGCAGGAATTACCCCAGGGGTGGATGCTGGTCGCGAGGCCCTCCCCGATATCTTACATTCCCATGTGATACCTTCCAACCTTGCTCCCTCGGGTCACCATGGACAACCTCATGGTCACCTCCCACCTGGAGTTGATCCACGTGTTTACACCTACCACCAAAGCCAGGGACGACACCATTCACGGCACCATCGTGGTGGTCGATCCTCACGGGATAGGCGCCGCAGTCGGTCTCGGAGTGGGTCACAGACAGAAGAGCCTTGCAAGGCTGGTTGTATGAACTGTTTAGCTGCGTCAACATCATTTCGATGGATTCTTGTGATCCTGTCATTATTAGGGGTGTGTTGTGTGGTGACTGGAATTGTTTTAGCAGCTCTCCATGCTGCAGGAAACAGTTTCCTCTTCCTGGCCATCATGTTCATTGGTAAGTCTTTCAGTAGTCGTGACTGAAAAATTCTCTTACAGTTTAAATGGTATAGGACTGCTCTCACATACAAATTTATTATAATAATTTTCCCTGAGATGCTTTGAAGTTTCATTATAACAGTATGCATGAAATATGTACCAGGTGTACTGAAATGAAAGTACATATATTGTTTCTTTGACAGATCAGTTCATTACGTGTAATAATTGTAGTACAAATATAGGTGTTATACATGTGTATGTTGAACACATATTATCCCTCAGGATGTCATGATAGATCAAACCCCAACCCCCACCCTTCCCCGCCTCCAGAATCCATAGAGCTCTGTTGGCATTGTAGATTTTGTTTTTTTGACAAGTTTTTACATGTGTGAGGCATTGCGTAACACAAGCTCAATTAGATAAAGTCTAGACTGTGTAATGGTTATGTAAACAATATACATAGAGGGCTTCTCATTGTGTCTGTTATGGTTATACATGCTGGTGGCTACCTCGTTGTGAGTACTCAACACCAATAGTACATGTGGACGCTTTGATATTTGTATAAGAGATCTTAATTATTTTATGGTCAAGTTTGTTCATCGGTACAACAACGACTAGTTACCAAGCTGGTTATCCATACACACCAGGTAGACTATAGTACATCAGTAGATACTTGTACGGCTTTTACTCACTTTGCACTTGTAATATAAGCTGTAGGTAACATATAAAAAGCTATAGGTTACATCATACTTGACAACTTTTTGAAATTTCCATGGGGGATATTACATGTGCTCACAATTAAAAGCATCAATAAAATGTGTTTAAGTACACCCCAGGGAAAAAAATAGCACTTTTAAATGGCATCGTTTGAGCTGTTCTTTCAGGTGAAATCATCAGATCTTGGGAAATAAGAATAGTTTAACAAATTCACTGGTTGAAAATGCTCACTTTTGGGGTCTAAAATCGGGAGTCTTCCTCCTAATTAGGGATTATTGACAAGTATGCACTACATGTAGCTATGTATGATTGATATAACAACCTAAAGGTAGTATTATTGTATGTGTGTAGGTATAATGCAACATAAACAGCTTATTGTCGGTGGGGCACAAATATGATTTATCACCTATAATATATAAGCACCACATCTTGTTACCATAGTCTGTAATATAGAGTACATGTTTATTATGAAATTTACAGGTAGTTTACACATTTAGCTGCGTTTGTGTTTTATCAACATCTCACCTTAATTATTTCCTTGTTAGTTGACAGTAACAATTAATGTACCAGCTGAGCTGGTCGAACTTGTACCGTGATGTTATAGTGGATCTAACATATTTTACTTGTACAATGGTGAACTTATAATTAAATACATGATGTGTTAGTGGATTCTGGATCTGCTTATATTACAGTACAGCTTTAAGGTGCCTGTGAATTTGTCCTGTTGCAGTTTTAATGGTCAGGAAGAGATCCCTGAAAATATACTGCCATGAGTACAAGTATGGTGGCTACGCCTCCCTTAACACTGTATTGGAGGCTTTTATGTCTCTGGACAGTTAATGTTAGCAGTCACTGGCTTTGTACTAATTGGGTGAGGCCATCTGCTCGTATTGGGTAGCTGCCTCGGGTTGACAGCCATGGGTGGACAGCCATGCATGGGTAGACTGTCTCAGGTTTCTACTTTGTGTCCAGTATGGCGTGGATCTATAGCGTAGCTGGTTTTATAGATAGAATCACAAATCAATTATTTGTTGGTCAGCAAATCCAATTAGCATAATTGTGAGTGTTACTGGAGTAATGTAACTGGTAATTGCTATACATGCATGACCACTGTCATTTCAACTGACCACATTATTACTGCTTTTCATGTTACCACTGTAGGTTCAAATGAAATGATAATACTATATATCTATTCTTCTATGATAAAGTGTTTGATTCAATGAGTGTTTATTAATTCAATAAATACAGATAAATAACAGACGAGAGGTCATTGGTGTGTCACACATAATAACCTGTACATCCACCTCACAAATTAGTAGTGGTCACTGTCCAACTGAAGGTGGTCAAATAAAGGTCAGCATAAACATCTGTATTCAACACAAAGGTACTCTCTACTTCAGAGCTTACATAATATAAAAGATAGATTTAAAGACCTGTATTAGAGCACAATGTTATAGTGTCTAAGGGTCCTAATATTGTAATGACAAGCACAATGGCCTGGTGATCCCTACCTACATAACCTATACTGTTATGTGTGTGATAAACATAGGGGTTATAATAGGCCCGTGTGGTCAGTTCTTTGAACACTGACCCAGTATTGACTGGCCATTACCTATGTGACCCTCATTATAAATTATGCAATTAAGATTAAAGTATAGAAGGATTGTTGGTTATAGATAAGGCACACTGATATCATTAGACCTACACTATAGAAAACACTTAAATTGTTGATCAGGCATACCCGTATGACTATGGGATACACAATCTTACATTCTTTACGGGTCTACCTGTGTAACTAGGATTTTTATGTTGACCACCTGGATTAGCAGAATATGTAGAGTCATACCTGGCTTCCCAGGTGTATGTCTTAATCTAGGATATCAAATAAGCTTCAAGGATTCTGGCTTTGTGAGATAATATTTAACTCGGTGGAAAGCTTGATATTAACCTCATTTAAATGGTCATTATAAACCGAAAACAGAAATATCACTAGCAGACTTAAATCTTAATATCTAAATCTTCCAGATATCTTTTATGTATTGTAAAGGAAAATATTTAATCTCGAGTCAGAAGGAGATGAATGGATTTTGTTCATGGTTGGTCAACATTAATTTTACTTACTTGACTTCTACGTACTAATCTATGTGATGCATTAGAGCAGATGTTCTTTTGTACCCTGTAAAGAGGAGGTCACATTTGAAATACTTATTATATCAATGATGCTAATTGATACGATTAGCAATAAAATGTATGTGGTACCAATTTTCAATGATTTGGTTAAACAGACCTTGACCTCACCTTGGCTTCCTTTCTTAATGTGAATACCTCCGTTCAAAAATAAACCTTTCAATAAATTAAATGCCACTCCGCAAACCCATTTTCTGATAAGTTTACAGACAAATACCGATATTCACTATATAGCTAGTACATGATAAATTAGGACACAGTGTTACAGCTTATATCAATGATGATAATTAGGTAACTATACTTACATGGTTATGGTGGTATTCTGGATCAGCTCAGGTGGACAGTTTTATGTGACATCATTGTCAGAAACAATGTGTGAAATTTGCAGAAAATATTTTATGATTAATTCTTGTGACCTTTAAAGACACAATAATCTGACCATTCCAAATTTTAGATGTGGCCCAATTACAAAAACAAATCAAACGATGATTGATATGCAATTTTATTGCCAGTTAGTCCCCACTTTGTTCACACTTTGTCGGTGGTGCAGACTTTTGTATGCGAGTGCCTGTTTGGATGATGTAGGATGAGCGTTCTGACCTGACAGCGAGTCTCCTGCCCCACCATATACAGAGTAACTGCCCTTTGTTCATCATGCATTCTGTCAACACATTTGCCAAAATTATGTGTAGACTAATTGTTTGGATGGTACATAATGATATTGGATATTATATTAGTGCCCCACTTTATATAGCATTATTACTCTTTGTTAATTACGAAAGTGTGTCCAGATCAAGGTGAGGACTAAAGATTGCTCACTATACTTTCCATTGTTTTGCTTGACACATGACTGTCAAAACATATTAAATTTGTTCATTGTGATATGTACCATTGTCTGTGATCTATAGATTCAAGAGCTCTGTAATTTGTTTATTTTGATTGATCATGTGTGTGTATAATGAGAGGTCTACCAGGCCTCTTCTATGTCACTCCTTGTTTAACTAAGGTCCGTATGTATCTCCTTCATTACAGAAGAGCAGAGACTTTCACCAGAAACTTTGATAGATGTGTAACCTTGCCTGAGGGTCCCCCAAGATACACTCATCCCTAGTCCTAAACTTCAAATACCATACAACTTATAAAAAACCCACCCGATTTCCCATTCTTACTACAAATACTTATGCACACAAAATGGATTTCAAAAATATTATCAGGTACCTGATAATTGTTGTTTATTGAACAAAAGTCTGCTTCGATAAATAAGTGACTGTGGGTATTATGTTTGTGGTAACACAGGTACAATATATAAGTGACTGCGGGTATTATGTTTGTGGCAACACAGATACAATATATAAGTGACTGTAGGTATTATGTTTGTGGTAACACAGATACAATATATAAGTGACTGTGGGTATTATGTTTGTGGTAACACAGATACAATATATAAGTGACTGTGGGTATTATGTTTGTGGTAACACAGATACAATATATAAGTGACTGTGGGTATTATGTTTGTGGTAACACAGATACAATATATAAGTGACTGTGGGTATTATGTTTGTGGTAACACAGATACAATATATAAGTGACTGTGGGTATTATGTTTGTGGTAACACAGATACAATATATAAGTGACTGTGGGTATTATGTTTGTGGTAACACAGATACAATATATAAGTGACTGTGGGTATTATGTTTGTGGTAACACAGATACAATATATAAGTGACTGTGGGTATTATGTTTGTGGTAACACAGATACAATATATAAGTGACTGTGGGTATTATGTTTGTGGTAACACAGATACAATATATAAGTGACTGTGGGTATTATGTTTGTGGTAACACAGATACAATATATAAGTGACTGTGGGTATTATGTTTGTGGTAACACAGATACAATATATAAGTGACTGTGGGTATTATGTTTGTGGTAACACAGATACAATATATAAGTGACTGTGGGTATTATGTTTGTGGTAACACAGATACAATATATAAGTGACTGTGGGTATTATGTTTGTGGTAACACAGATACAATATATAAGTGACTGTGGGTATTATGTTTGTGGTAACACAGATACAATATATAAGTGACTGTGGGTATTATGTTTGTG